TTCAGATAATGAACAACAAATTTAGGTAGTTCAATTCCAATTCGTGATGAGATGTGTCATTCTGTAAGTTAATAGTAAGTAACCAATTTTAGTTCTTGCCTTTGCTATGCAGTCACTGAGGAAGTGAGGGGAAGGAAAGAGGACAGATGCATAGCATCTACAGAGCTCATAAAAAGTGATTCTTTCTCAATATTTCTGAAAATATTTTTATTACAAATCACTCCTGTTACATGTGACCTTTTGTTCTATAATAAAATCCAAGTACAAATTGTCACAGTTATTTTGTACAGATTATTACATTATATCTATCAGAATTGCATACATAAAATGGGTTTGTGCTCCTTTAGGCATTTGTTAGCTTTTCCTATCAGTTGTTGGGTAATTTTTTGCCATAGACATTGTGGTTATGAATGTGACAAGTAAAGAAAAAGGCTTATAATGGTGCTTCACATTTGAAGAAAAACACTAGTAAAAATACAGTATATTTTCTTGCTTCTAACAGGCTAATGAAATTCCCATTGATGGGAAAGGAGGGATTTCTATTGACAGTGGTGGGCACTGGATAACATCTTGTGTGTACTTTTGTGCTACGTTAAAGCTTTTGTCTTTGGTTCAGCCTTGGCTAATAATGGATTTTGGCAGAAAAGGTATTGACCAGTGTAGGTGAAGTGTAAAACTTCTAGGTAACATGACCCCATTTTCTTGTGTTAGACAGCATTTCATAATTCCTACACATACCATGTTCATCACTTACCGTGTCTAGTCCTTAATGACAAAGTGTAGCATGGGTGGTAACTGTTGAAATTTTTGTTTTTGTATTCTTGGCTGCTTTAATTTAGGATATTTGACACTGGAGACTGCAGAGAATATTGCTCATTGCAGATATGCTGTAACTGAATAGTTACATAGTTTGCAGATGGAATGACAAACCAGATTAAATCAAGAAATTTACACCCTCATTTTGGGATAAGGTTTTCTCTGACATTAAAATCCTGTGAACTATGCTCTGGTAACTGGTGAAACTCTTTGAGTTGACACCCTTACCTGATGGAAGAATTACTGTGTGTAGTCTAAATATGTTACCTCATGAGAACAGGACTAGATATTTGGCTAGGCTTCCTGAATTGGAATCTCAGTCCAAATACCCTCAGGTACCACAGCATTACAAGCATCTGATTTTCTCCCATTCATTGGGAATGATTACTTTACATTATTTAGCCTCTTGGGCATTTTTAAGGTGAAAATACAGCTCGATATTCAGACAGCATGACGCCTGTGGATTCCTCAGATTGTCTTTGCATTTTCACTTTTGTTCAGGCAATGGTAAATAAATGCTACATGATGTGTCATCTAATGTATAGCCTAATGTAAAGGGAAGTCTCATTACAGGGACTTTGGCTTGACACAGCCCAAGCAAGGTTAGATCCTGTATGTTACTTACTTTGTAAGATGGAGAGAGTATGTGAAGAGCTGTGCTCAGCACATATATGCTCAAAAGAGGAGTAGAAACAACACAGAGAAGGGTTAGTGGTTAGTGCATGCCCAGTGTACTTGAATGCAATCGGCGGAGGTGAACTGAGGACTGCTCCTGTACTATTTGTGTACTGCCTCTGAGACAGTGCAGAGAAGTCCCAGTAGAGGTTCTTGTTTTGAGCTTGAACAGTGAGCTAGGACAAGTGTGCTGGATCAGAGAAACCTGTAGTAGTACAACCTGACTGGGTGCAGCAAAAATAATCCTTTCTCTTCAGTAGTGCATCCAGTATATAGTATGTAAATATATACTTACTTTCTCATGTACTTTTCCATTTTCCAGTGTTTTGGGCTAATAAACTTCAGTTGGATGTTTCCTTAGGGGTCAGTCCTACCTCCCATGTTACTTATATTCTCTTGACCCATTTCTGTGATAATCTTAGAAGATTGTATGAGCTACCTTCACTACCAGTTATGTGGAATCTTACCCGTGGCTGAGTAATGTGCTGTTCATTAGGGAAAGGAGATTTATTCCTCGCCACAGTTATTCAAATACATGGAGATTAATCTTCTCTCCTACTTACATACTGAGGCCTTTGCTAAGACTAATAAACTTAATGAGATGCTAAATGTACCAGACTTTAGGGGAGAAACTTGCTTGTGTTTGCTTTTGAAGTATTGACTTTCTCACATTGGAAGGTCATTTGAGTGGCTTCTAAGAATTACTGAAATGTGTATTGATTTCGGCAGGTTTTATTATTATACCTACTCCATGCGTTATACTTTGCCCTCTTTTCTATTAAGAGGTAACAAACTATCCATAGGTCTATTATATAAATTGAGTAAAGCAGGCATAGAGATAGACAAGACTACAAATATTGAGAAAGTTGGAGACCTATTTAGGAGAACACCTTGATTAAAACCAAACCAAATCAAAAAACAAACAAACAAAAAAAGCCCCAAAACCTAACAATTACATTTTAACAAAACTGAAAAAATGAATGGCCCAGTTAATTCTCCTGAAATACTCTGTGGGAAGTGAGAAAGCCCTCCTGGCTTTGTGCATTTAGAAGGAGATCAGACAAGCTGACAAACAGACAGCAGGGAGCAATTGTGCCACTGCAGGGAGATGGGCTACATGGCATAATAAGACTTTAGTGATGGAAAATACTCGTGATTTTCACTCAGAGCATTATGGAGTCACAGCTGACAGGGTATGCAGGTGGAAGGAAAGCGTTGAGGTTACCAGAGAAACATCTTTTTAACCTTTCTCTAGCATGCCAGTGGGAAGAAAGCTTGGAACTGCCCATTGCCAGCAGCCCCATTTCCTCTCTGGATCTGCTGACGTGTTCTTCTGTTCTCGTGTGTTGCCCATACCTTTGAGCACACGGAGGTTTTACGACATGACGTGGTTCAGGACTGGAGCAACATGACACGCTCAAAGCCTGTGCGCTCCCATTGGCATCAAAGCACAGTCTAAGCATCAGCTACCCCTCAAGCCCACAGGGCGGCCCCCCCCCCGCGCCTCCCCAGCCGCCCTCGACCCGCGCCTCTCGTCTCATCCTGCCCTCTGCCACCAATGGGCTGGGGGCGGCGGGTGCTGCAGAGCTGGGCGCGACCAATCAAGAGCCGGAGTTGGCGGTGGGTGCAGGCCAATGGCGGCGGGGGGCCGGGGGCCCCCCCGGGGCCGGCGCCA